TCCACTCTGCAGTTTTTGGCAATGCAGAATGAATCCTTTCGGCTCCCCAACACTAGTTTTAGAAAACTGAAGAAGAAAAAGGTATTATGAGATATACACAACACGTAGAGGAACATTCTGCCCTCGTCCACTCTCCACTCTTTTTGGAAAGGATTGCAATTTTTTTCCTTTATTTTTTAAAACAGAAACAAAGAAACAATAATTCTTTGTGTGTGTTTTTCGAACCAGGATAAGGAAACTGGGAGCCGCTGCACTAAATCCCAGTCAAGGCTTCAAGTGGTTATTAGACTGAAAATAGAACAGACTTTTAAAAAGAGCTCAAGATCGTACAGGAAAATGTTGATAGATCTCCAAAAGTGAAGGTTAAAAGGTATTAAAACATGCAGAGACTAAGAGTGCAAGTGAAGATCCGGAGGCAAGCACAGGCAAAGAAAACCAAACGGTTGTTGGAGGAAATCTGCATAAACTGTGCCAGTACATCCTGGCCTCCATGCAGGGGCAACTGAGGGCATCATTAGAGAAAACAAGCATAGTCCTTATGAAGAAAAGAAAGCTCCGTAAAATTAGCAAAGATGCAAAAAGACAGATAGCAGTTAAGCATATTAAACAGGCTTCAGCAAAACTCTCAAGCTTGGGGCTGCAGGCTTGAAAACTGAAGACAGATGGACTTACTGAGTGAAATGTTTGTAAGATCTGGCTGCGTAGACTAGACACATGAACAAGCAGGTGAGTTTTAAAGAGACTCATTCTGCCCATATCTAGCTATGTTCAGAGAATCGTAGAAGACTTGCCTGCAGGCCTCCACCTACCATCCAGTCACAGCAGCTAAAGTTGCTTCAATGCTATTGTTGATAGAATTCATTGCACCAGCTTTGAAAAGAAATGCCAGAGTGATTCCTTGCATATCTCCATTCCTTTCTATGCCCGGGGAAGGGCTCTGAAGCACCCACAGTAGCTGGAAGCCCACTAAGCCGCTGTCTATTGAATTAATGGACCAAACTTTGTCATGTTCATGAATATCAATGAGTCTACCATGAACGAAACATAGTTGATTATTACCTTCATAATTTTTGAACTTGGCACATGTGTAAGAGATATCAAGAGTGAGCCACCCCATTGTGCTTTCCCATTGTAATTCATGAGGTCTCAGCCTCAAGCTGTAAGCTTCCTTCAAAGTCAAAACTGACAGACACCCAGAATGACTATTTCCCCCCCTGCTCATGCACAGATTGCTTTAAAAGTTGGAAGGAAGTTTACCTAAATAAAAATCCAGCATGTCACTGACACATGTATAATTAGCTAAGAATTATGTGAGAGAGGAAACACTCTCTTTTTAAAATAATATATATTTTAAATAATATTTGTATGAGTTTTCAATTACAGTTCAATAATAGCCTCATTATAACAATACCAATTTATAATACAATTATTAATACCAATCATTCAAATACCAAATTATGTAATTTAGTTAAAGTGCCCCCGTGTGCTAGATTTGATGATTTTCTTTATTTTTGCATTCCAAAATCTTATTAATTTCAATTACATTCCCATCACAATAATAAGCGCTCATACAACAACAGCAATATTAATAACTTATATTTGTGTTGACACATTAAATGATTTATAAAAGTACAAGTGAGGAACTCAAACTATATCCTTGTTCTTCCTGTGTTTGGCTATTATTCTGTCCATGGTGTTTCTTCCTGTCCTTGTAAGATGTTACGTTTTTCTTTTCCCCGGTTGTTGCTGTTATCCATCATGCCTTGGGCAGAGCCGATATCCCATTGTTGTTCCAGAAATTTCTCCATCGTTCCATCCCATGCTTTGTTGTTTTGCAACTTTAACAACAGCTGCAAAAGTCACTCTGTCCCAGGAAATGTTACCTGTTGTCAACATTTTTCTCTCAGCCTGGGAAGAAGAGCAGTCTGTCGAACTGCAGATGACTCAATAAAGAACCTTATCAGTTCCTTGGCAGTTCACAGACTCCTTTCATCCTTCCTTCCAATAGAAGATATATGAGCAATTATATATCCAATTAAATTAAATTCCAAGTCCTCTTAGCATTATTCAGTTCACTTCATAAATAATAAAGGATGGGGAAGAGTCAGCTCTAAGTTTCCATCATAAACCTTTTGCAAAACAGAGCTTGCCTCCCTTTTTCATTTTTTTACACACACAGTTCCATTTGATATTGTATTCCATATTTATAATCAATTTCTTCCATCCTCGCTTGTACAAATATAATTTGAATTAACATTCAGAGGAGGGTTGCTGAATCATATATGTAGAGAAGAAAACTTTAAATAATGAAATTGTAGGCTCCCCTCCCCCCACCATCTTTTGAACTGAATGAAGTCTTATCTCAAGTTCTAACCTTTAAATCCTTGCATTTAGTTTGTTCCGCAGACTGTGATCTCATCTCTTTTTTTAGCACACGCCTGTACTTTAGTCAAATTAAGCTCTAATTAAAAGGAGAGCCTCTGCTTCGTAATGGCAGCATTGGAGGGTTTTCGGCAGCTGAAGTGCTTTTGCACTCAGTGCCTCCCTGCCCCCCACATTCCATGCCGGAGCGAGAATCAGGTACCCAGACAAACTGCAAGTGAAGCCCATTCCTTCCTGTCCCTGGGGGGAATTTGCAAGGATAATTACCCTCAATCATCCTTGTTTTTCCTTCACCAACAATCACCTGCTCTAGTGGGGTCTGCCTCCATTAAGGCAGAGCAGAACTGGAAGCCCAGGAGGAAACACTCTCATATCTAAGTTCCTTTTAATTTTCTTAGAAGGAAATGTAGAAATGTTCAGATGGCCTGAGAATATGATAAACTCTGAGATGTTAAATTGCACAAATCTCAGAGTCTGATCCACCTTGTTATCAGCAGTGTTATCTCTCTCTCTCGCGCTCTCTCTCGCTCTCTCTCTCTCCTCCCTCCCTCCCTCTCTTGCAACTTATATGTTGCCATTTTAATCAAAAGATCAGTTCATCAGGAAAGAGCTTGCAATTTTAACATTATGAAGATGTCAGCAAAGGTTTTCAGTGGTGTTTTTAATTGCTTGGAAAGTATTTTTGCTCTTCCTTTTCACACATGTAATTACATCAGTTTTGCTCCTGCAATTTATTTGAAGGAGCTAACCCACAATTCCTAGGTGGTGAACATGACTGGGGAAGTGGTGTGGGGCTTGCAGATTCTGCCTATGAAAGTTTTAAGTGCATTTGTGAACAAAGCAATGGTCTGGTCTGTCAGCATATTCTAAGACTCTCTTGCACAATTTTCCTGTGGCTGTCAGGGAGGCAAGAGTGAGGAAAGGCAGGGTGACGAAAGCTAATATTAGAGGAACAACAATTTAATCCATGCTATAGAACCTTAATATACTGTAACTGTAAACTGGGGAAATTAATGGGGGCTTGCCAATTACGTCTCACAACCCCCTGGAGCTGCCTTGCCAGAAGATCCTGGATGCTAAAAGTGGTGTAATGTACTGGTATATAAACCCTTTTTGGTGCTTATGATAATAAATTTATCAAACTCCTCCTCTGATTTCATCCACTAATAAACTGGATACTGATTGTGCGTGTTTGATTTCTTGTTTTGCTGATTAACTTTATATTATTGTTGTTTTTCCATTTGCATCTTCTTTTCTTATGTGTCACTTTGGGACCTCTTTAGCCTACAAAGCAGTCTATAAAAAATATCCGACTTGAATTGTTCAGCTTCTCCTCTGCAAATGAAATGGGGGTAATTGTCTTACTTGGACACTTACCGTAGTCTACTGTGACACTGTAGCTGCCATAAATGTGGCTGGTATAAACTGTCTTGGCTACTGCTAATATGGTTGTTGCCCATTCTGAATAGTATACTAAACCATGGCATATTGGGATGGCTGCTTGGTTCTCCCTAGTCCTTTTAGCTCAGCATGGCAGCTATGCTAAGGTTTGTCTTAGCATATCATCTGCACCCAGGATTGTGTCAAGCCCTCTTCTCCTTAACCAAACCTTGGCTAGAGTATGTGGTTAAGCAGCAGTTAACTTAACCACAAGCCCAGGTCTGGACAATGCACTAAAGCAAACCTTGGCTTAGTTAGTCTACACCGAGCTAAAAATATCACAACCATCATATCTTCCCTAGGACCCCACATTCATGCTAAGCCTTGGTTTGACATAGCATTATGTCCCAGATGAATCCTCTTCTCCTTCCTCTTTATCAAGACAGCAAGTCTTCTGTTGCTGTTGTTGTTGTTGTTGTTGTTGTTGTTGTTTTCATGACATAATAGTGCATTCTCTATGTCATGTGCTTTTTCTACGTTTTCTGGTAGAGTCTCTTGTTTTGATGCCTCTGTGGTACTGGGACATTTTATGACTGCAGGCTAAGGTTGAATGAACAGAAGCACCTTTCTGTAGCCTGGACTTTTGTTTGGAATTTGCTTATGAAATCTCTCTGGGTCTAATTGGGCTTTAGGTGTAGATCCTCTAAGTTCCTCAATGCTGCTTCCATGGCTGTTGCCAATTCCAGAGTTTTGAACCAGACCAAGTTTACTTCTGCCAGTAACAGGCTTTGATTGTTCTCATCGGTCAGTCGACAAACAAATCTATCTCTCAGCAGATCCTCCAGGACATTGACAAACAAGGAGGGTTCAGATAGCTTTCTGAAAACATCAATATATTGAGATACCGGCTCCTCTTCTCATTCTATAGTGAATTTTAAAATGTCCCTCAATAGTGTCTTCACTGTACTCCATGCCCTATGCAGATTGGCAGTTTATACATGGGGAGGGCAGAGGTTGGGATCATGTCTGCTTTTGTACCCTATCAGGACATCTACCCTATATGCATCTGGCTGTACAAAGACTCCATATGAATGATTTGCACCTAGGGAGGGGATAAGAATTCAGTTTAGTTTGCATTCATGCTTATACACATGTTCAAAAGGATCATAGAATTGAAGAGTTGGAAGGGATCCTGGCGATCATCTAGTCTAACCCCCTGCAATGCAGGAATATGCAGAAGCCCCATATGGGGATCGAACCTGCAACCATGGCGCTATCAGTACCATGCTGTAACCAACTGAGCTAAGCTGTACTTCCTGAAACAAAACACAGCAATCCTTCTCTGAATTTTGTGATGCAGTTCTCCAACAACAATGAAAATGCATGCATTTGGGCGTAGCGTGTGCAAGAATGCATATATCTTATTGAAAATAACAAAAATTAATTACACTCTGAAAAAATGCATGAAAAATGTGTATATTCAAAACTGAAATGCCAAAGGATTTTTATGAGGATTTAGAAAGAAAACAACAAAAACTGCAAAATTTTGCAGAAATGTGGTGAATTGAATTTAAGATTGGAAATATGAGCAGCTGGGGGAGACCAAAACTGACATGCTCATCCATCCCTATCAACATATTTCATTTTTTATTTTTGCATCTACAAAGTCAATGCATGAGAGATGTGTATGTAGACCCTTAAACTCATGCATGTCAGAAATGTTGAGGGAAAAGGAAGGAAGATATTGGGTAGACAGGTCAAGGTTCCCCTTTGGGAGAAAAAGGTGTTTACCCCATCCAACTAGAGAGCCCAAGCTTCCTAGTACCATATATATAAGTATTTTGCTCTTTATTTGCCCCCCCCCCAAAGTATTTTTTCAAAGTGCTGTCATTCCACACCAGCAATTTTCTAGCCATGATTTTGCTCTGAAGCACTTATCTGACTTCCCCCCATCCCCATTGGAAGGGTGTAGGCAGTAAAACATGCAAAGGAGCCAATCGTGCAGTATTATCCACAGAATACGGATGTTTATTTTGTTCTCGCTCTGCCAAAAATGTGATTTCTTTTACTGCCTGGCATCATGTTCTTGGAAGCCTCTTCTCACTGAAACAAGAGATAAGCTTCATCTGTGGGAGCAGGGGAGGAACCGAAACAGTCAACCATCCATTCCATCGCTGGAAGAGCCCTCGCTTCTCAAGTCTGCACAAGAGTGAACCAAGCAGGGAAAACAGTCATAAAATGAAAGAAAACCAAGGTGGATTGAAAAGGAAGAAAGATCAAAGAGATCTGAAAACAATGCTCTACATAAGAACATCGTGTACACTTAATGTAAACATGGAGGGGGAGAGACTCTTAACACCAATTTCTTCTGTTTTGGTTTTCATTTTTAGAGCAACAGGTGAGGAACTTGTGGCCACCCACAGGACTTGACTCCCATCAGCCCCAGCTAGCCTGGTCATTGGTCAGGGATGATGGGAGTTGGAGTCCATGAGGATTTGTTGGGCCACCGGTTCCCCAGGCCTGCCTTAGAGGTTTTGAAGAGGGATATATTTTCATTCTCTGTGCAACCTGTATATTACCAGTGGGGAACCTCCAGTCCGCAGGCCTAATTAAGTTCATCAGGACTCCCCATTTGGCAAGCAAGGCCATTTTAGTTAAGCTATGCCAACCAGCTCTACGCCGGAAGTCATGCAAGATGACAGATGAAGACATGCCACAGGGTTTCACAAGTTCTCGTGATCAGCCAGTGGCTGGATATATATATATATATATATATATATATATATATATATATACACACACACACACACACACACACACACACACACACACCGTATTTTTCGCCCTATAGGACGCACCTAGTTTTCAGGGGGGGAAATCAAGGGAAAAAATATGATCCCCCCCCCCCGCAGCTCTGGGTGCGCTACTCCAAGACCTTCTTCCTGCTTTTGCGGGAGGTGGCGGAATTCCCCCACCTCCCGCAAAAGACCACAGGAGTCGCGCGCGACTCCTGCGGGCTTTTCGACCAGGAGGGAGAAGGGACTGAAACGGCCAGTCAGTCCCTTCTCCCTCCTTGGGGAAAAGCCCCCAAGGCTTTAAAGGCTGCGTGGTTCGTACGGGCTTTTCTGCTAGAAAAGCCAGCAGAAGCCACGCAGCCGCTTTAAAGAGCGCACGGCTTTTGCCTGCTTTTGCGGGAGGTGGGGGAATTTCCCCATCTCCCGAAAAAGCCCACAGGAGGGAGAAGGGACGGACTCCGCCAGTCAGTCCCTTCTCTTTCCTTGGGGAAAAGCCCCCAAGAGCTGCGCGCTCTTTAAAGGCTGTGCGGCTCTTGCGGGCTTTTCTGCAAGGTGGGGGAATTCCCCCATCTCCCGAAAAAGCCCACAGGAGCGAGAAGGGACGGACTCCGCCAGTCAGTCCCTTCTCCCTCCTTGGGGAAAAGCCTGCTTTCCCCCACCGCCAGCCTCCAAGCCAGGTTGGAGAGTAGCAGGAAGGCGTTGCGCACCTTCCCGCTGCCCCCCATCCTCTGGGGCTGGTGACGGGGGACGCGTTGCTTTCTCCCACCGCCAGCCTCCAAGCCGGGTTGGAGAGTAGCAGGAAGGCGTTGCGCGCCTTCCTGCTGCCCCCCATCCTCTGGGGCTGGCGATGGGGGAAGCGCTGCTTTCTCCCACCGCCAGCCTCAAAGAGCAGACTCTCCTGGCTTAAGCAGAAGCAACGCGAAGCCTCTGGAGCGCAGGCTTCGGAGGCTTCGCGTTGATATCGCTGAAGCCAAGGAGCCTGCATTCGCCCCATAAGACGCACACACATTTCCCCTTCATTTTTGGAGGGGGAAAAGTGCGTCTTATAGGGCGAAAAATACGGTATATATATACTTTTATTGGTTTTTAACATACCAAATTATAAAATATACCACACAATTTATCACAAATACATTCTTATTGGACTTCCATCAGCACCTCTGATAATCCTCCGTCTTAAACGCTTCTTATGCATTTCCTAACTTAATATTGCCTTTATATCTCTTAACATATCATCTCTCCTCCATTTTTACAATATTTCTAATATTATTCCTCACAGGACTTCTTGCAAACCTACAAACGTCGTCTGGTCACCACATATACTTTTCAAATAATCCGTAAATTTACTCCAGTCTTCGGTAAATTTCTGGTCCCACCGGTTTCGGATCCTTCCCATTAATTTATCAAGTTCCGCATAGTCCATTAATTTCATCCTCTAGCCAGTGGCTGGATCTTGAGGTGGCCTGGGCTTCACAAGACTTGACAAGCAGTAAAGTGCTGCTCGCTGGACTTTGCTGATTGCCAGCCTTGTGAAGCTCAGCGCACGACTGATAGCTGGATCTTGCAAAGCCCTATGCATAGTGCTCTGTAAGTGCCAATGATCAGCTGATCACCAGTGTTTGGTGGGCTGTGCCTTTGCTTGCACAGATTAATTTCAAATCATGTGGGCAAAAAAGGGTTACCTGATATCATGATACCTGGTGATTGGTAAGGTGGCAGTCCTGCCCTCCTGTCGAATGTGATCTGTGGGGTTGAGGGGTGGCAGAGATAATGATCTGGCCCGATGGGGAGGTCAGTGCGGTGCAAATGCACCGACAGGCATGTCAACCTCCCTGCCACCTTGTCCCTCTCCTGCCACTAAGCAACAGCAACTCCTGTGCAAGGAAGCCAGTGCAATGCCTCTGCAGCACCCAGCAAGCTGCATCTAACTTTACATGAACATGTTGAGATTCCTGCGTTGCAGCACATTGGGCTAGATGACCCTGGGGATCCCATCAAACTCTATATGATTCCATGTACTCACCACCACCAATTCTTCACACATTTCAGGCTCTTAATGCCTACTGCTTCACTAAGCGGGAAGAAAATCAGCAACTTGGTCAGCAGTTTGCTTTTGAGTAAGTGCAGGGAATGGAGGGAGCTGTTGCTGGTGTGTGTGTGTGTGTTGCTGCTTTTTTAATTTCATTGTTAGGACAGCTTTCAATGGGGTGTCACTCATATTTTTTTAATTTGTAAACCACCTCAAGTTTGATTTCGTCATAGAAAAGCAGGGTATAGAATGCCACAATACAGAAATAAATAAAAAGCCTCCTAAATCTAATTCTGGCTCCTGTTCTTTGTATGCCTCCTGTCTCTTACAAGAAGTTACCATAAGCCTAGGAAGGAGGGGGAGGCAGATGGCCCTCCCCAGGGGGTGGACTTATCCCAAAGGCTGCTAGCTGCAAGACCCAAGCGTGACCCAGAAGAGCTTTGCTTTATTTCTTCGTCTTCTTTTCCAGCCCTCCGTTGCCCTAAGAGTCGATTGCCCCCGCTTTTGTTCCTTTCTCTCTGTCCGTTGGAACATGTTTATGCCAATAACAGCACAGCTCATCTTTTATAGCTAGGAATGTGCATGTCTGTGTCTCCTCTTGCAGCACCAGGAAGATATAAATACTGAAGTCAGTCTCTAGCTTCCCAGCTTTGGGACTCAAAGTCCAACATTACCGTAAATGTTCTGAAGCGTGTTTACTATGGTCATCTCGGTTTCCCTCGGTTCTAAAAATGTTGCAAAGCTGCTAGCTGCAGCGATACACATCACCTAACTGGAAATGTTTTGTTGTTGTTTAAATTGACGGTGCTGACATGTTTATGGAAGCAAGGTGATATTCAAAGAGCAAACAAGCATTTTCCATTAAGGTGGGGATACGATGGGTTAAGGATGTACATCTTTGCTAACTGCCATTGCAATCTTCCAATTCCATAGCTGGAAACCTGCTTTCATGTGGTTCTTGTTTCTGCCGCTTGCTGCTAGCTACTGTAAGTAGCATTTCTCCACTTCTTTTTGAAGGCATTTCCTTTCCAAAGAGGTACACTCAGAAAACTTTCAGCTCTGTTTGCCCTGCTATCGTGTCCGAAAAAGAAGATCCCTCCAGGTTATCTGTTTATGCATTTATAAAAATGCCTATTTACCACATGTAAAAAAAAATAAATCAAAGCAATTTACAATGATAAAAAAAATACAAAACAAGCCATATTATAATTTTTAATACAGACATAAATTAACCATTGTGGGAAAATGCATTCTTAATTGCCTCCATTGGCCTGGCAGAATCGAAAAGCTTTCAGCAGGCATTTAAAAGTTGGCACAGAAGGTGCCAGCTGAATATCCATTGGCAGAGTATTCCACAGGACTGGGACAATGACACGAAAGACTTGGTTTTTTGTTGTTGTCAAATAAGCCTCACCAACTCAGGGAACGATGCTCCTGCAGATGATCTCAGTGATCGAGCTGGGACATAAGGGTTCAGGCGACCC